TGGTTCCCAGCAGGTCACTGGTCCTCAGGGTAACAGATGTTCCCTGCTCTCGGTCTTGTATGACTGCTGGCACTGCTGTCCCCTTTGGGACTCAGCCTTTTTGGTGAATACGTGCAGAGCCTTGTGCTTACCATGTTGTAGATAAAAATACAGAGGCAAGGGCTAGGAATGAACTTGACTTCCCAGCTCAGTGGAGCAGGGCTGGGAAGAGAACACAAAAAGGCCTGGCCTATCAGGGCAGAGGAATTGGTAAGAAAGCTTTCAGCCCTGACAGTGGTCCACAAGGGATGCTCCCTTGTGGAGCTGCTTTTCACTGACACCAGGCTTCTGAGGGCAGAATGGCAGATCACGGCCAGCCACATTAAATATGTAATTTCAGAAATGTGATCAAACTGACTTCCTGCCAGAGCTATGAAGCAAATCCCACGGGGGGCTGGAGGACTTATTTGTTTTCCATTTTTGATTCTGTGGTAGGTTGACTTTTTTTTTTTTTTTTTTGAGAGAGATTTAATTTACCCAGTCTTTTCAATCAGAGAAATTGATACATTAACAAGACTGGTGTTGGTGGCAGCAGCAGCAGGGGAAGTAATTAAAAAGTCTAATCTTTCTTTGTTTCCAAAAGCACCAGTCCCTAAATTGGATGGGTCCCAATGGGCTTGAAAGCAGACAAAGTTTTAATAGAACTTTTATTTAAAGTCCAACAATGGCTTTGTTGTGCCCTGATGCTGAGATATTAGGAGGAATCTTTCTTTTCCAGGATTCAATGTTCTGGACACTGGAGGACTGGAGGGATGAAGGATTACATTAGTTTACTAGGGCTGTCATAATAAAACACTACAAAATGGGTGGCTTCAAATAGCAGGAATTTATTCTCTCACAGTTTTGGAGGCCAGAAGTCTGAGATCAAGATGTTAACAGGACCATGCTCTGATGGCTCTAGGAGAATCTGTCCCATGCCTTTCCCTAGCTTTTGGTGGTTGCTGGCAATCCTTGGCATTCCTTGGCTTGAAGATGCATCATTCTAATCTCTGCCTCCATTTCTACATGGTGTTCATCCTATGTGTCATGTCTGTATCTCTGTTTTCTATTCTTATAAGGACATCAGTTATATTGGATTAGGGCCTACTCTAATCCAGTATGGACTCAACTTAATTGCATCTACAAAGACCCTATTTTAAAATAAGGCCACATTCATGGACACTAGGGGTATATTGAACACATAGCAGGGACCAGAGTCTATGGTAGGGAAGGCAAGACTGCTCATAGTGCCTGGGGGGGCCTACATCCATGTCTAGGAAGAGGTGAATTACCTGGCCTACGTGGGATAGTCTCAATCCGGGGACATCAAGCCTTGGTCCTACAGCTGCCCACATCTTGGATATCAGATTGGTCATTCAGTCCAAACACCAGGTTGTCCAGGGAATGAGTGCCCTCTCCATAGAGTGGGGACTTCATCTTTGAATTAACTTTTTGATGTGGTAGAAAGAGCACTAGACTTGAAGTCAGAAAATCTGGGTTCAGTCTTCTCTAATGCTCACCAGCTCCATAACTTGGGAGCACGGTTAATAAATGTCTTCAGCCCTTAATTTACATTTCTATAGAAGTGGGATATAAAATAATTTTCACTCACCACAATTTTATGACAAGCTTAAGTGAGAAAGGGGGGCATGGAAGAGTTTTGCAAAGTATCAAACTTTTTTTTTTTTCAATAAATGAAAATCCTCTTTCTCTGCCTCATCTGGGTAGAAGCTTTGGTTATTCTACTTTAAAAGGTGATCTGATTCTTCATACACCCAGAACAGGCAAACATGAATTAAAGACGGGCGGGATATCATCTGCTCTGTGGCTCTAGAACTCAAAGTGATTAAAGCCCCAGTGGCCTCAATCTCTTAGCTACCTGCAGTTACCAAATAAAACAGGTTTTTATCTGGGTAGGGAGTTGGAGTCCAATCCTTTAGCCAAGCCTATAAATAAGTCTTAAGGCATCAGAGCTGGATGATAAAAGGAAACAAATTCTTTCTTTAGATGTCCGCCCCCCCCCCCCCCCCCGCCCCCCCCCCCCCACCGCCCAGCTTCTTCATAGCCTTGGGGGAAGAATGTGCAGCTCTGCTTGTTGATGACGAAATTAGCAGGCTCCCCTCATTCAAGACAAGAGACAAGAAAGAGCTGGAATCTGATACCAAATGCCATTGAAGAAAATATATTTTACACAACATAAAAGGCCCCGACGTAAATTAGAAGAAATACGGGGAGACTTTAAAAAGGTAGGTCAAACTTTTTCCTCAAGCAGATAATTACAGACTGGGTTGAGTAAATCTTATGAGTCTCTCTCCACCTCACCTCTTCTCATAAAACACCCATGAAAAGAAAGTCATACTCAATTCAGGACTGGACAAGCTTGCCTGAGAGGGATGGCCCACCACTGTCTATCATGATGCCTGTGGTCGGGTTGTTGATGCCTACCTTTGCCGCCCTCTCCTACCTCCCCCTCCAGACGTCCCCGCCCACCTCCACCCCAGAACGCAGGTGAAGACAGCCAGCCAGGCACCAAGCTCCACCACTCAGGGCCCACATCGACTTGCCGAGTCTTGGTTACTTCTCACTGTCTGAAGAACCATCCCCTCAGGCGGCAATTTTCCAGTCAAATTTCTCTGCCCAAGTTTGAGGTCTTAAAATTAATGAAGTTGTTAACATTTCTTAAAATGTCTTTTGCGGCAGTTGAAAGGTGTGGATTTACCACCAGTGAGCCTGCTGGCCTCTTTGGTTCATAGAGAGATATGGGCTGAGCCCCGCAAACATCTTTAAGAGAACAGGAGTCTCAGTTTACTCTGCTGTGTGTCTCAGGACTAGTCTTCAACCTCAGTGCCCCAGAGGTGCTCTTTGTGGCAACGGGCTGAGCTCCCTACAGGATTGTTTCTCTGGACAATAAGCTCTGAGAGAGCAGGAGCAAGTCTCACTTACATTTGTTTCTGTATCACCTCTAACATTTGGCACTGAACTAGGCACACACTGGTGGTGGTGGGGATAGGTGGGTCCTTATGAGTCTCAGCTGAATTAAATATAGGAAGAGATGAAAAGTCTCTGAGATTACCACTGCACTCAGTCAAGGAGCCACCAACCAAGAATCATCTATTCTCACCCTGTGAATCGGTAGCAATGATGGTGCTGACTTTGGCACCCTCACTGAGCATTTTGGCAAGGCCTGACCAGTGGTTTGGGTTCCCTCCTCTGCCAAGAAGGGAAATCATGAGGCTTCTAGGCTAAAAGGAGCATTTGAAAGGAATCCTAGGAGTCTTGCATATCTATTCCTTTGCCCAAGGAGCATGCCACCCCACCCTCATTTTATACATGAGATAGGTGAGGCCCAGGGAGAGGAAACAGGTGTATCAGAGCCAAGCAGTGGGCATGTAGCAGTTTAAATAAGCTCTGGTGGTTTTCTCCTTTCAACCTGAAATCTCTTTCTAGATGTTTCAGAGAGAACAAATGCAATGTCCTCTGTGTCATGCAGGAGGCAGACCGGCCTGTTTTGGACATTCTGCATTTTATAGAAGTTGTGTAGATACTGAATGACTTTGAGAGCAAATTCAAAAAACGTTATCCAAAGACGGGTTCTATCACAAATCTGGTTTTACAAAGCAATAACAGTATAAAGGACAAGATTTCAATTATTTATAAACACCTGCCCTTATCCTAAGATGATACTCAGTGTCTGGCTTAAATAAAATCAAGAAGTAATTCTTATCTGGAATCTCCTGACAACTACTGATCTTCCCGTGCAACCGGGGAGGCTTAGCAGTATAGCAGGAAACATCCCAGCAGAGTACAATTCTAAACTGCCCTAGGGTTTTTCATGCATTTATTTTTTTAAGTTTGAAATGAAGGTACAATTAATATGAACCAAGACTCACTGCTCTACGAAAGAGGGACACTAGCAGGTGGAAGGTCTGTTAGGTGCACTTTAAAAAGCTCAGGCCCAGGGGCAGAGACTGAGTGGTGGGAATAGGTAAATATGCCTAGAAGGGAATCTAGAGCTCAGTGTATACCAGGTTCATAAATACTTAGTTGAATCAGGCCTGATGAGTGAGTTCCATCCCTGAAGACCTCTGCATTCATTTATCATGCACAAGCCTCTGAGTTTCTTCTATGTGATGGGATAAAGTGGGGAGCAAACAGATTTGTGCCTGCCCTCATGGGGTTCACCCCAAAGGAGTTCAAGAGAAGAAAAAAATGTCCAAGTTGAAATACATCAGCTCTCCTCCAAACCTGCCCCTTTCCTCTGCAGAGGCCAGCTCCTGTGAGCTATTAGGATGAACATGGAAGATGAGGAATGCTACACCATGTAAATATGGCCTCACCCTAGCAGTCTGCATAGGTAGGTCCCTAGGAGAAAAAGTGAAGGGAAGAATTCTGCTTTTGTAGTTAGAAAATCCACTTTGTATGATCTTATTATGCTCAATTTCTGCATCTTTAAAAATGGAATGGGACTTGGCCTCCTTACCTCTGAGGTTGTTGCAGAATCAAATGAACTGAAAATAATACCTAGGAACACGTCTGGGTACTTTTAAGGAGGTACCTAAACATAAGGAAATCACTTGAGGGGCCCCAGAAGACCCTCATAATAACAATCCTCTCTTCAAGAGATCACTATTAGAAACACTCATGGGTTAGAACCCTGTATCTAGAAAGCTACAGTCAAAATGCAAATAAGCATTACATCTAATGACTGGTAAGGGGATGTCAGGAATGCCACAAACATAAAGGCTGGGGGGATGAGATATGGCAGCAACAAAGCCCTTGGCTTCCTCCAGGATACATAAGGCAGCTGTCAGTCTGGAGAAGCCAGTCCTGGGGGAAATGGTCTTAAATTGGGTGTCAATGGAGACTAAGGGTACAGAAAGACTTCCTCCCCGACAAGCCATACATCACAAGCTGAAACTCACAACTTCTTTAATTATGAGATGGTGACTGTACATCACAAATAACTATCAAAATATACTTACCATATCGGCTGCGATGAGACAGGAAAGGGAAGGAATCTTTCATTATCCAGGTCAGATTCCAGGCAAAAGAATCAGGAGGAAGAGAAGGCAGGTTTGCTGGTGACTCCAAGGAGCTCTGACGGGAACCTGAAAAGACAAAGAGAACACCGATCTTTGCCCTTGGGATGTGTCTTTTAGCTGTCACTCATATTGCTTATAAAAGAAAATTCATAAAAGGCTCTCATGACATCAGCTGGAAAATGAGGGGAAAAAAGACTGAGTCACGAGTAGGTTGAATTGACCTCAGGACCTCACTGCACATTTTCTACCAAGGGCAGCCAGATTGAAGAAGTCCGAATCTTGTGACCTAGGCCATGCCAAAGATCTCTGGGAGATGAACTAGAAGCCAGGCTACTTAATGGCTTGGCCTAATAGCTCTATCCAAAGTCTATTCTGCTTATCAGAATTTGTGCAACTTTACAGAGAACTTTAACTCATCTCATTTAAATAATGCCTCCACTCTACTTTATGTTCCGACTTGTAATTTCATCTAATGTTGTTTGCTTGGGTTATTGCCTTATCAATGAGAGTGCTGAAACTGCACTCAGAAGTTATGAGTTTTGACAATTGTGTTATTTTCAGGAAAAAAAAAAAAAGCTAGGTGATGAGTTTTCCCATAACTAAGAGTCCAGGGAGCCACAAAGGATTAATGTTTCTGATTTGCATGAGAGAAAGAAGGGTTGAGAGAAAAGGAGCAAAAGCAGCATTATTCCTTTGCTTAACAGTACCTCAAGTGGGTTTTGTGGGATGAAAAGTAATTATAATATATCTACAAATCAAATGAACACAGGCTGCATGCTCTTATGCAGCTCTTCCCAGAAATCCCCAACTCAATCACTATTTGCTAACGTTTTAAGGCAGGCAAAGCTTTTTCTGTTAAAAAAATAGAATCAGTTTGAGAATCAGTTCTGTTTAGGAGATAGACACGTAGCAAGACTGAGTGTGGGGAGGAGGCAAGGAAGGGAATTTCCTCTGCAGCTTCCAAGGGTGAGGCACCATTCTGGGCTCTTAACCCGCATAATTTCGCAGTGACTCTCTGAGATAAGCATTACCATCCCTGTTTCACACATGCAACAACTGAGGCTCAGAGGGGCAAATAATGGAATCTGAAACTGAAGCCAGTTTTGCCTGGCCTCAGGAGGCCATGCTATACCATGGGTGGGCTGGTTTGCTACTCAGACAGTAATTGTTAAACCACCTGGACTGATTTCACAAAGAGGAAGAGGAGGAAGAAGAGAAAGAATAAAAGGAAGCAACAGTAGCAGAAGCATTTTTTTAGCCTATTTGCTTTGTAGATTCTTCCACATCACCTCCAGCACACGACCCTCCTTCAACCCTCTTTTAGTATCAATCCCTCTTCACACACTTTAAGGAAATAACTGTCCTGAGTGGCCACAGCAGACTTTTGTTTCCAGACCGCTCTACTGTTTTATCTACAGGTGCTGCCTTTGGGTGAAGCCCACTTGTTCCTGCCACTAGAACAGAATGGGCATTCTACGTTCTCCTTCCTAAAAGAAACACTCTTCTTTCTGCCTTCCAAAGATTTGAGTTGGAAGTGCTGGCTTCTGAGTACCTAGAAAAGAGTTTTGGACTTTTCTCCCACATCTGATCTAAAGAGATAAGAACTGAATTGGTTAGTACCCAGATACATCTTTTGCAGCATTTCTCCAAAATGGCTTAGAGGAATGCACTGAAAGGGGTCAGAAATTATGTTAGTAAGTTTCAGAGAGCAGCCATCTCATTTCACCCTCACATCAACTCTGTTTTATAGATGGGCAATGGGGCTGAGAGAAGTGAGGTCCAAGACCACACACGTCTACTTAGGAGCAGGCTTGAGTTTATTAGACTTTTAAAGAATTAATAATATTAATTTAGCACACATGGACCAGGCATTGTGCTAAGTGCTTTAAGTGTATGATTACATTCACTTCTTAAAACAACCTCGTGAATAAGTATCAATACTATCATTGGGCCTTATTTTGAGCCCAGGGAAACTGAGGCTGAGAGAGCTTGGATGCCCTAACTGTGGCCACATGGCCAGGCAGGAGACAAGAGTCAACAGACCAGATTGGCCTGATGCTATTGCCCATGTTCCTTCCACCACCCTTCATGGACCCCCACAAACTACTGCATGGTGCTTCTCAGTTCTCTACAGGGCCCTCCAGCATCCCCACGAGTCAATGGCTAAGGTCAGAGATGAGAGTATGCTCCAGAATGGGGCAACAGTGCGAGGGATGTGAGAAGGCTCTGACAACCAACTCCTTGCAATAACCCCCATGTGATTAAAAATTGGCATCTCTATGTCTGCCTCATCAGCATAGTTCAAATTTTAAGCAATTCTGAAGCAACAGGAAGACCAAGTCTAGGCAACATTTCCCTGTTTCAGAATGACGTCATTTTTTCTTAGCCATACAGTTTGGGAATGGTATTAACTTCTTCCTGGATGTGAAGCACCAAGTGGATGGGGCTAGACTTCAGGAAGCACTTATGAATCTGTGGGTTTGCACAGAGTGGCAGATGACTTTTAATATGGATAAGGGCCAGGTTATATATTCAGGGGAAAAAAATATCTGAAACCATTCAAAAGGAAGGGCTCTGAGGGCTGAGTCATGGCCCAGCAAGGAGCCATGGGCATCACTGTGGGTCATTCCTAAAGACATAAGCTTAAACCATTTTATATCCAAAAATGCCAATAAATACTTGGGCACCTTCAAAGTTAAATACTGAAGAGAAAGCAAGCATTTTCATCCCGCCCCTATGGGAACTCCCAGAATTCCTGCTAGTAGGTTGGGTTCACATGATCCTCAGAGGGAAGTGGATAGTGATTTGCCAGATCAGGCTGGGCGAGCTAATGGAGGCGTCAACCAAGAGGATGAGCCTCCTCACCTGAGAAGGTGAGGACCGAGAAAGACACAGTCTACATGAATGAGGTTGTTTGCCCAAAACAGAAGCACTGACACAGAAATGCGCTCTAATTAAAGTTAATAGAATATGCATACATTTAGAAGAGAAAAAAGAAAGTACTGCATTTAAGTGCAGGGAAGAGGCTCTCTGCTCCCTTCACACTCCATCTCCACCACCTACCCCCCATCCTCAGCCCTGGTGGGAATGGGGGTTTCCAGCATAGAGGAAAGCTATGCCATAAGAAGCAATCCATTTAAGCAAGAACAAAATCTTGGCTCTTAGGGACTTCCCTGGTGGCCCAGTGGTTAAGAATCCGTCTTGCAATGCAGGGGACGCTGGTTCGATCCCTGGTGAGGGAACTAAGATCCCACATGCCGCGGGGCAACTAAGTCTGCGTGCCGCAACTACTGAGCTTGTGTGCCACAAGTAGAGAGAAGCCCACACACTGCAATGAAGAGCCCACTCACCACAAGGAAAGATCCTGTGTGCTGCAACTAAGACCCGATGCAGCCAAAAAAATATAAAATAAAATAAATATTAAAACAAAATTTTTAAAAAAAGGGCTTCCCTGGTGGCGAAGTAGTTGAAAGTCCGCCTGCCGACGCAGGGGACACGGGTTCGGGCCCCGGTCCGGGAAGATCCCACATGCCGCAGAGTGGCTGGGCCCGTGAGCCATGGCCGCTGGGCCTGCGCGTCCGGAGCCTGTGCTCCGCAACGGGAGAGGCCACAACAGTGAGAGGCCCGCGTACCACAAAAAATAAACAAACAAAAAAAAACTTGGCTCTTTGGTGCTTCCCTCTGAGAACATGAGGATCAGAGTAAAATGCGTCTCACCAGCACAGACTTATGGGGTGAAGGTGTGAATTAAGACCCGCTGGCTCAAGTAGTGTGTATCTTGGAATCCGGGAGAGAGAGGCAGAAAGGAAAGGAGAGGGGAAAGTAGGAGCAAGAGCTTCCAGGTGCCCAAGTGATGGCCAAGACCACCTGGAGGAGAAAAATAAGGAAATATATTCTGGACTGAGGGCATTACTGATTGGTTACAGATAAGATAGTTTTATGTTTCTCCTTTGGGGTGGGGGAGATGGAGATGATATCCTGAGCCCTTTTCCAGGCACCACAGGGTGTCTAGGCAGAATGAAACCCCCAACCTCTTGACGCAGCTTTTTCCACTGTGCACCACCCCCCTTGCATCCTCAGCTTAGATTCCAGTGTTCATCGCTATCATAATTCCACTGTAATAATTCCCTTGAAAACAACTGCAACTCACTTCCTTCTTCTGTCCTTCACAATTGTCCTGAGCAGCTGAATGTGGTGGTAGGAGAGGAGGGGAGCAAAAGGGGAGGAGTACACCAGATGCTGACAAGTCTCACTTTAAAATCATGACAACAAACCTCAAGAGGACCCTCAGGCAGGACTGCCCAGGAATCCTTCTGAATTCGGTAATGGGCTCCCTCTCTAGACCCACTCCCTCTCTCTAGACCCACTCCTTCCAATTAGTATGACCACCATGAAACCTTCTTCCTAAGGCTTTAAAAACTCTGACTTGGGCTTCCCTGGTGGCGCAGTGGTTGGGAGTCTGCCTGCCGATGCAGGGGATGCGGGTTCGTGCCCCGGTCCGGGAAGATCCCACATGCCGCAGAGCGGCTGGGCCTGTGAGCCATGGCCGCTGAGCCTGCGCGTCCGGAGCCTGTGCTCCGCAACGGGAGAGGCCACGACAGTGAGAGGCCCGCGTACCAAAAAAAGAAAAAAAAAAAACTCTGACTTTTATTCCTTAGAGAACTACTCAGTGAATTTCTTTCCTGACATGTAAATAAGCTCAGCTTTTTTTTTTCTTTTTAAAAAACTTGATGGGGGAGGGAATCTCTGTTTTATTATTTGATAGTTGTTAAAAGTTGGGTAACTTGGGACATTTCTCTTCTCCATCTACACTCACTCCCAAAAATGATCTCATCCAATTTCAAAGCTTTAAATACCATCTATATATTAATACTACTAAATTTATATCTCCAGGCCCAACCTCTCCCCTGAACAGCAGAATGTATGTCCAACTGCCAGTTTGAAATCTCCATTTTATTCCTGGGTAAGTATCACAAACTTAACACATGCAAAAATAAAAACTTGATGTCCCTCCACCGAAACCCAAGGTGTTCCCTATTTTAGATAGTGATGACAAAACTCTCCTG